GCTTTAAAATGGGGAGGAGGTGCCTTTCTCCACCCCAGCCCGGGAGCTCACAAGCCCTGCTCCCTGCAGGCTCCTGCTTGTCCTAGGCACACGGAGCCCCTCGGGCATCTGACCACCTGCCCCAGCAGAGGAGGGGTTGGTTTGCCCCCCAGTAGCCACCACTGGGGCAGGGCTGTGCCCGGGTGTGCTGCCACCGGCTGAGGAGCTCACCCCATCTGCCTGCCCACACACAGCTCCCAACAGACACAAAAGGGGCTCCCCTTGGACAAGGGTATTTTTAAACCCTCTCCAAAGCCCGGTGGAGCCAGCTGTTCCACAGGCGAGCTGAAGGGCACGGGCAAAGCTGCGCACTGGGAGAGGTGACGTACCCAGCAATTTGGAGATAAAGGGCCCCTATTCATAAGAGTTGAGTGAGGCACGTCGTGGCCCCAAAGATAGGTTCCTGTCTTCTCTGTGCCCTCAGAAGCAATAACTCCATTCATCAGCAGACTGGTAACTCTCCCCAGGAGATGGGTGGGTTTTGTTTCTTTAACTACAAGGAGCTGGGCTGGTGCCCGTCATGCAGCCAAAGGGTTTCGTTCCTACCTGTCACCTTGGTGCTTGTTGTGTCCAACTGCTTGTAAAACCTCAACGTGCTAGAGGTGCCTGCTGGCACGGGGTGACAGTTAAAACACATAGGTTTGACATTTGGCCACGGGACAAGGCTTCATTCCCAAATGTGCACTTGGGGGAGAGGATTTGAAGAAAAGTACACACCAGCCCAGAGCCCTGTAAGCATTGCTCCCAAGGAGCAAAACAGGCACACTGAGGGAGGGAGGAGCCTGAGGTGACATAGAATCTTAGAATTGTCTTGGTTGGAAGGGACCTTTAAGATCATCTAGTCCAACCATCAACCTAGCTCTGATAAAAACCCATCACTAAACCATGTCACTAAGCACTATGTTAACCCGTCTTTTGAACACCTCCAGGGATGGTGGCTCCCCCCCTTCCCTGGGCAGCCCATTCCAATGCTTAATAACCCTTTCACTGTAAAAATTTTTCCTAATATTCAATCTGACGCTCCCCTGGTGCAACTTGAGGCCATTTCCCCTTGTCCTATCGCCTGTGACTTGGGAGAAGAGACCAACCCCTTTGGTCTTTCAGGTAGTTGTAGAGAGCGAGAAGGTCTCCCCTCAGCCTCCTCTTCTCCAGGCTGAACAACCCCAGCTCCCTCAGCCTCTCCTCATAAGACTTACTCTCCAGACCCCTCACCAGCTTCATTGCCCTTCTCTGGACCCACTCCAGCACCTCAATGTCTTTTTTTTGTGGTAAGAGGCCCAAAACTGGACACAGTACTCCAGGTGGGGTCTCACCAGTGCCAAGTACAGGGGGACAATCACCTCCGGAGTCCTACTCACCACACTGTTCCTGATACAGGCCGGGATGCTGTTGGCCTTCTTGGCCACCTGGGCACACTGCTGGCTCATGTTCAGCCTGCTGTTGACATGGGACACACATTGGGCCATACCTCACGTGCTGAGCTGCAGCAGATACCTGCAGTCTCTCGGGTGGCCAGGGCAGCGCGATGCTTCCCTGGGCCCAAGGCTCAGCAGCAAAGCCCTCCCAGGTGTTGCCAGTGCCATTCAGTGGTGAGAACAGCCACGGGGCTCTTGTAACAATGGCAAAGGGGGATGTTCAGCTGCATGATGCACGGCAGAATGCTGCCTCACAGGCTGTGCTGGGACATCCCCTGTCCCCCTCCCCAGTACACCAGTCAATACTAAGGTGGATAGGTGTGGGTGTTGGGGATGGGGGAGCTGAACCACACGGCCAGAACTACTAACCTTCTCCTGGGCTTTCCCTCAGCCTCCTTCCGCGTTGTCTGCCCAGCACCAACCATGCTCAGAGCTGGCTTGGACGGCTGCTTCCTTGCGCTGCCTCCTTCCTTCCTCCTTTGATGGAGGCAAGGCTCCCCTTCAGCTCGGGCTGGGGCAGCAGGAGCTTCAGCATCTTCTCTTCCCCAGGCCACCAGTGGGATTGCCTCTCTCAATATGGGGCTGGACCTCCCCCTGAAGGCTCTGGGACACCTCATGCCCAGACTTCACTTAGCAGCTTGTGCTGCTCCACTCAGGTTGTGTGTATGGGATGCACATGGAGTGAGCCCGAGTAACTCCATAGGTCACTGGTCTTGCCACTCAGTGGGAGAGGAGCCCTGGATTTTCTCTGGACAGGTAGAAGGACGGGCTGAGCTCTCTGTTAAGATGCTGGTTGGAAGGGGGACTGTGTCAGTTCCTGGGGTTGAGCCTGCATTTATGCCAAAGGCTGCTATAAGCCAGCAGCTTCAGGACTTGAAGGCCCTTAAGAGCCTGTATTCATCACTAGGCATCAGTGAGCACTGGGTGTCTCCTGCTCAGTCCCCAGGAGCACTGCAGCCCAGCAGAATTTCTACCACCTATCTGCTCTGCCAGGAAAGAAACCAGCCACATCAAGTCCACCAGCGCAAGAGCGATGAAACGGGCTTTCATTGCTTGGCAGCAAACGCAACAAATCCTTGTGGTCTACACAGTCCCTCAGTTGCTTGATGCTGTTCAGCTGCAGGCAGCGTGGACAAGTCCATTGACTGGGTGATGCTCAAGGCAACCACAGTGTGAGCTCCTCACCGGGAAAGTGGCAGGTGCCAAAATGCAAGTCCAAAACCACTGGAAGGCCATAGAAACATAAAATTTTATGCAAGAGTGCTTAGTCAAGAAAGAGGAGAGCTACATACAATTCCCTTTCATGTCACAGAGACCAAAACCCAGATCCCCTCTGCCTCATAACAGCCTGCACCACCAGGCGTAAGAGGTTCTGCAGGAAGGTCCTTCCAGCCAAAACACTGAAGTGCTTCTACTTCAGACAGAAAAATGAAGCATTTGTTGGCCCAGAGAAAAAGCCTCTCTACTGACCAAACATCACTGCATCCTTTGGAAGGAGGCCTGCGTTCTCTAGTTCTTCTCCAATTTCATAGAAAAGAGCAAAGCACGCACTAAAGAACAAATGGGATCCAGATCTCCTCTCCCTCACGTGAGTGCTTTTATCGCTAGATTACAAAGTCCAAGTCATTCTTTCCTTCTCATCTGATCTCATCCCTGGAGCCTGCAGATTAAGAGGCTCAAGCGGTCTCAACAGTCATGGTTCTTGAAGGCCGGAGTCCTGCATCCTCCCCCAGGTTCACACCTGCTGGCGCACAGTACAGACAGGGTAATGTCTAATTAGAGGCGTTGCTGTTTCTAATTAGATTTCTCTTAGTAGCAGAAGCTGCCCAAATCCCAGGACAGACACATACGGTTCAAAGATTCCTGGCATGCTGCTGTATCAAAGAAGGCTTTTTGTGAGGATCATACATCGCATCTTGGCAGAGATTCATTTGTACGATCCAAACCCCTCCTGGATGCTGGGTGGGGACTGGAATGGAGAGCCTGCAGCCCAAGAGTCCTCCAGCTTCTTTGGCTCTCCAGATGACATTCTTCTTCCCTGTCTTCACTCTGAGGAACCATGTCCTGCAATCACACAGCTCCCCCAGATATTAATTTCAGAGAGTTCCTGGTGGGAGCAGTGGCTTAGGCAGAAGAATCACCTTGATTGAATGCACCAAAGGAAATTGGGAGTGCTATCGTTATTTCAAAGTTGGATTAGAAAAGACCTCATTTCCATTTAATTAGGGATGTGTCCCCACCTGCTGTGAAATATTATTATGGTGCTTAATTTCTTCTTCACCGTTTCTTTTGCTTCTTCTTTTTCAAAGAGTGAAGCAAGTTGAGCTGGGGAAAGACTCAATTACTTTGAGGTGTGTTGGCAATATCTACTTCAGGACCTGCTTCTTGTATGAAAAGCTGCAAGGAGCCTGGCACATGTCGTTCTACTGTAAGACCACCACTTTCCCCCCTCTTCCCCCTTGCAGACACATGTACACACTCCTTTTTTCACAAGCCCTCCTCCCCACTTACTCCCGTGGCCTGATGACTGCTCCCACTGGAAAAGGCTGGTTCTGCAGGGATGGGGCCCATCTCTCTGTTCCCTGCTGGGCCTGCCACACCTCTGCCCACGCAAACACCAGGGGGTTGGGTGTAACCTCATATGACTGCCAGATTTTGATGTCTTCAAGTGCTCTCCTGTGTCCAGACCGTGCAGACGAGAGCAGCTCCCAGCACTGACCACCCTCACGGATGTGCTGGGCACCTCTGCCTGGGTTTCACTGGCATTGCCAAGGGCGGGCACTCCCCAGCCATACACCATTAGACACTTTTTCCGAGCGTGGGCTGGAAGCCCAGTGTTCTCATGTGCCTCCAGAGGCTGAGGCAATGGACATGTGTCTCTGTGCTAATCCAGCCCTGGAGACAGCCCCACCCTGAGAGCTCAGAGCGCAGCCAAGCGCCCTTCGGTTTCGGGCTCTAAATCTCAGAGGATCAGCCTTAAATGATGAGGTTCAAGGGCTGCGATTCTGGAGATGGTCCTTTATCGACCCACAAGCTGCCACTGACAGTGAGCACCACCCACGGGGCTGGGGTTGAAGATGGCAGTCACACAGAATCACAGAATGATATGGGGTTTGGAAGGGACCTCTGGAGATCACCTAGTCCAACCCCCTGCCAAAGCAGGTCCACCTAGAGCAGGTTGCACAGGAACTTGTCCAGGTGGGTTTTGAATGTCTCCAGAGACGGAGACTCCACCACCTCTCTGGGCAGCCTGTTCCAGTGCTCTGCCACCCTCAAAGTGAAGTTCCTCCACATGTTTAGTGGGAACTTCTTATGTTCAAGTCAGGCTAAGCCGTGCTGCATCCTGGGTTCTCAGGCCCCTGCCAGCCAGGGCTGCAGAAGGGGTGCTTTGTAGAGCGCATTAGCTCTGAAGAAAGTGCTCATCTCTCTCTTTCCCTCTTTGCATCTGCTGAAACTGGTTGGCAAAGCAGAGAAAGAATTTAGCACTGCGCGGAGCCTGGCTATCCAGAAAGGCATGAGGAAAAAAAACCAGGTAGATATAAAGGGTGATCAGTAATCATGCTTTTAATAGCTTGTAAATATTTTTCTTTTTTAAATTCCAGGCAACTAAGATGTACATTTGTTGTGTATATCCGACATCTGAAAAAACCATGAGTCCACAATCTGTTCTGTTTCATCCCTTTTCTAAAGCACATAAATTAAAGTATCAGTCACCCCAATATACAACAGTTTTATGAAGGAAAAAGTCTTGTTCTGTTTTTACAATTCAGTGTCACCTCTTTATCTGAAGCATTAGCTAAAGTTTTAGCTAGATAACTGTCTCACAACAAATAGGAATACCCAGAACTTAGTCTGTCTAGAAATATTCAAGAAATTTCCACTCCCTGCTCTCAAACTCCACTTCCTAAATAAAGCATCAGAGTAACATTTTCATTTCCCGCTAGAAAACTAAAGACCCCAAAAACTCTTCAAACACCCCTGGGAAACACTGTTTGGACCACAGAGCTTATTAAACTTGAAACATTAACAGTGCAACGATTTCCCCTTCTACAGCTTCAGCGCAGAACCTGAATTGGCACCAGGATGAACGAGGCTAGAAAATGCCAGACGACAAGCAGCCTTTGGTGCCCGGGGCTGCTAAACTGCCTCCCGTGCTTGATTTAGGTACCCAATAACTGCTCTCAGCTCTGAGAGCACCTGCAGATTCGGGGACCTTGGGCCACTCAGTGGGTCAGGCTGAGGCCATTTCAGCATCCCCGGGATTCAGCAAACCAGGATTTGAATCCGGATGGGAAGATGCTGAGGACCCTCCTCTCACACCGGTGCCAGGGCTCAGCACTTGGCACGATTCAGCCACGTAGCTCTGGCCACCACCCCAAGTTATTCCCACCAAAACTATTATTTATTGACTTTATTAGCAATACAGCACGGGCCTTGACGGGGTGGGGTTGCCCTTGCCTTCTTCCTGTTGGGGTGTACATGGGCACCACGTACCTGGGGCTGCTCCTCACCAGTCTGCTCAGGAACCGGTGGGAATGGCCTGTGCTCTAGCACAAGGTAGATCTCCTACAGGAAAATGGGAGGCAGGCAGAGACAGCTCATCTGGCTGATGTCTTCATCCGTTCCCCAGCACTGAATACAAAGCCTCTGATCCAGGGGAAAAAGAAAACTCAAAGATGAAAGAACACAAAAATAAAGCGAAAAACGTGACCTTTAACTGCTTTTCATCTCCCACTGCTTTGACTAAGGAACTCAATCTATAAGTGCAGCTAACTCCAGAGACGAATGTGCTCTTTCACAGTCTTGTGTGTGTGCAGCACTAGAACAAAGTCACAACTACAAGTGCAAAGGAACAACATTACAGTCCTCAGAAGACCTACTCTGTGCACTCACCATCAGCTTGAGTTTGCCGATAAGGTTAAGCAAAGAGGTTCATTCTTCTTGAGCACAAATGAAAATCCATCAAACAGCTTCTATTACAGCGAGATTCTAAACTGACATAAATAATTATAGTCTTGATTAAAAAGAATATATTATTCTAGATTTTTGTTTGGTTTTTATTTTAGTTTTCATGTAAAACCCCTATACTCTTGACATCTAGGAACAAAGACAAAATAAAAACCAGGCACTTGCTGTGCCTTCTCAAGCACTATCGTGGTGTTTAAGGGACACAGAGGAACTTAACAAATGAGATTAATGCCTACAGTGGAAAACGAGAGGAGTTCTTCATGCCGTCGGCTTTTTCAAGTCTCGGATTTGCTTAATCAGGTAGTTCTTCTCATCGGTGAATTGCTCGTCATCCGTCCTCTCTTTCTGGAAATTGCTCAGAAACTCAATTAGCTTGGGTTGGTTTTTCAACAGGATCTCCACAATAGGCTGTGTTTTGTTTGGACTGGCCACAAAAACCTAACATGCAAACAAACCCAGGCACAGGGAGAGACAGAGAGAGAGAGAGAGGGGAACATCAGTCACAACATCCCCGTAAGTGATTTTCTAAGGAGTGAGCTGAAGGCTGGCAGGCAGACACTCCGCTGCTACACACCTTGTCCCGAGGCACAGAGAGAGGAGTCACAATCACCTTGGTTCAACAGCAAACAGAGGCAAAGCTATTGAGGGAGCCTGTGGTATCGCTTCCCTTTAATTTTGCTCTTTGTTGATAAAAGCATTTGATTGTAAACCCAGCTGTCAGGAGCGGGCTATCAATTCTCAGCCTCTTCCACATGCAAGACTTAAATACAAAGAAATTAATTATCAGGAGAACGGAAAAGCTTTGTGTCAGTATTGATATCATTTCCATACTAAACCGGGCCTAAAATTAGACTTGCCAGCTTTGTTTTGGTTTGGAAAAATATGTCAGAGGCTCCACTTCCCCTCTGCCTAATCCATTCACGGGGAGCATGGAAATTTCCAGCAGCAAGAGGAGCAGGAGCAGAGGGGAGGGTGGCAACACGGAGAGGTGACACTCACCTGGCCCGGCCAGCCCAGCGCTGGGGGCTCACTCGTCTTCTCAAATAGCAGTTTTTAAGGATAAACCTAGCTGTGCTCTGATTTTTCCTCCTGCAAAGCCTAAAGCCGCAGAGTTTTCCAGCTTTGGACATGACCCCCTACGCCACAGCACTGTTTCTTTAACGTTTTTCTCTGCCTCGCACACTGGCTGATGACGACAGGAAACTTCGGGCCGGTTGTAAAGGCCAGGGGTGACAAGCTCTTCCCAGGGACCTCAGGATGCCGCGGAGATGCGGGCTCTGCAGACATGGGTCACAGGGGGCAGATGGGGCAGCAGGAACACACACACAGAGCCCAACCCTGGCCACCCCAGGAGAAGCTCCCACATCTGGCTCACTCCGAGGTTACCATGGCTGGTCAACAAAACACCGCCCCAGCGCTTGTGCAACGACATAAATAACTGGAGTTATTCTCTACCCGACGAGAAGAAATTAAGGATGGACAGGGCTGGAAAACGTCCAGTTTCCCTCCGAGCCTGTTCAAACCAGAATGAAAACAAACATCTGATGACGGCACAGAATGGCATGTTGTCCGGCCGAGCACAGGCGGCACCACCACTTGCCCAGCCCTGGAGCTGCTGACTCTAGACCTAAGGCTCTTCTGTAGGTTAATTTATCTCCACGGAGATTGTGCCCACATGAAAACCCAAACCATGTCCTGCTCATTAAGACTATATTTATTTATTTTTCCATAAAGGTGAAGGAAAGTATATAATCTTAAACCTTGCCATCCTGATGCCATAAGAGCCCTAATCCCTGCCTATGCTTTTGTCTCCTTCGCATCCCTCCTCCTCAGGAGCCACCTGCTTCAAGGTATTTTTTTCTCTGGGGAAAGAGCTGCACACTGGGTGCACTCTGCCACACTGGGTGAATGCTCCCAGGCCCCAAGTCTTTTACAAAGTTTTCACAGAATGACAGAAATGTAGTGGTTGGAAGGGACCTCTGGAGATCATCTAGTCCAACCCCCCTGCCAAAGCAGGTTCACCTAGAGCAGGTTGTACAGGGACGTGTCCAGGTGGGTTCTGAATGTCTCCAGAGACGGAGACTCCACCACCTCTCTGGGCAGCCTGTTGAGCCTGCAGCATCTGAAAGCAATATCCCCTCCCTTGCAAACAACTGTGATATGCTGCTATTGATGTGTTGGCTCTCCATATAGGAAATAACAGGTTTGGAGATGTAAATCACTACTGAACATACTTTACAGCTTTCTAATCCATGCCTTTTCTAGGGAACACGAATCTTGCAATCTTGTGGTATGAATGTTTGGCTGTGGCTGAGACTGCGGCAGGTGCTGCTCTCAGTTCAAGCAGCTCCCCACGTGCTGACCTGCAGCAGGACACCACGCTGATGGAGCCTGGATACTTCCAGGATTTGGACTGTGAGAAGCCCCCAGTCATCTGGACAAGCTTCCTTTGAGAAAAGCAGTAGGTAAGCCTATGCGCAGGGATGAGGAACATAACCATGACACATCTTCATTACAAGTTTTTAATTTCAAAGTTCAGTTCCCTCTTTGTGACCAAGAGAAGAAAACCATCAAGTACACTGACAGGACCCACGTTTTCAGAAAGAAATCTGATTGTGGTGCAAATGGGATCCATTAAAGAAGGCCTTGAAGTGCTGAACCATCTTCCCTTAATGAATATTAGGACTCCTTACAAAGATAACTGAAGGCTGACTCTCAAAATGAATAAATCTAAATCATTCTTCTTGTAAAGGCTATCTGGTCTGCAAACAGAACTGGAAAGATTTAGTGGTAAACAGTAAATACCAGCATTTCATATTGGTCCTACTACTAGTATTACAATAGCAAATAATTAAAGAACTTAGTTTAATAGAAGGCATCACATCCTGTTTATCTTCCTGCTCGATTATTTATAGATTATAATCTTCCCCTTGCAAAACTGTCCCACTGAACATTCAAACAAAGATCATCTTGACTGCTAGTCTTGCTCAGTGTCAACAGGGGCTCGTAAAGAGAGAACGTTAAAGGACCAGAAAATTCCTGAAATGTTATTCAATACTTTGGGCAAAGCAAACAGAATCAATTCTGCCAGTATCAACTAATCAGCATCACAAAGCCCAGGATTAGGACCACCATGAGACTTTACTTTTAAAAAAGAGTCTCCCACATTCAGAACTCTGTATTGTCACAGAGCAGGAGATAAATCCCTGGAAACAGGAATCATTATTAACACCATCTAGAACATTTCTACCAAGATGAAATATAACTGAAGCTAAAGCACTCCACAGAGAACTTTATTTCACCTACGGTTTTACTATGAGAGAGACAGAGACCAAAATAAAGAGAGTACTCATATTAAAATTCCAACTCTAAAAATAGCCGTTTCAGCACAGTTCCATTTTGTGAATGTTTGCAAAAAGCCTGGAATGAAAATCAACTCTGAAGCTTCAAAAGTTGTCCAAAGTGTAACTGTTGACCTCTTCTCCATTAAAAGTCATACACTGGATTTCTTCAAACAAATACCAAAATCCCTTGATTAGAGAATCTGACCTTGTTTCCTTGCAATTAATAACCAGGCATCACCATCCTCTGGGACTAGAGCACAGCAAAAAGTGATTACAGAGTCTGGATACCCTGGATTGGGTATTTTAAGACTTATTCTGGGGTCACGCACAATCTTACTCTGTCAGGAAGCTGCACACAGAAGAGCCTTACTGTTCATGTTGCTTCTAATGTAGTGCTTCACATAACACCTCTGGCCCTATAAACCCTCCAGTTAAGAAACAGAGAGGACACAGCCCCACAAACATGGTTTCAGCTTCGTACCAAGAGGAAACTGCCAGTACAGTCAAATTATGTGAGACCATTTGCAGAGCAAGCTGCAGGAGGTAGCTCTGTAATGTGCACGAAATGAATGGAAAAATTAAACTAAGGTCACAAAACACAGTGTACCCATTCTATTTTTAGACTTAAACAGTAAAATATATCTTGCTAAATGACTGCTTAAGAACAAGAAGGTTGCATAATCCCAATTCAACACTACAGGGTGTTTTCCTCAAAATAATCTAATTGTTTATGTGAAAGCCAAGAGAGCTTGTTGGTTCCCCATATGAGAAAGTTGTGAGAGCCTTTAATTTGTAAACACATAAGGTCAAAGGAATACCTGCACCACTTTCACAGATGTCTGAAAGCTTTGCTCTCCCCTACAGGCAAACTCAAAGTAGCCTCCACTAATAGTTCTCACAAATCTATCACGGGAACTGGAGAGCACTTCCCAACAAGGGGTCTTCCAAGTGTGCATGCTCAAGACTGGGACCTCTCCGCTGAAATCAAGACAGAGAAGAACTCATGACTCTCAAAGGCTACATCTCTAGGTGACCCCCTTGGATTATTTATGCAGGAGGAGGAAAGGGGTGAGGTATGTCAACTCTTCCTAATGATTACATACTGGCTAATCCTCATGCACACATTGTCTGGGACATCCAGCTTTACAAAGCAGCCACAAACCTTTAGGATGGTTCCACAAGGCAGAAGCTGCATTTTGCTCAGGTGAAAGGAAGAGAAGGAGCTGAAGCCAGGAGGAAGATCAAGCATCTCCTCAACAGAGAACGGAAGAAGGCACTGGAAGTGGACACCTTGTTTGCCTTCTATTTCCCACCCAAAGCATCCTGGATCAGTGAAACATTCTCAGAGCTTAAAGGGAGACTGACATTTTCAGCCACAAAATGTTCCCACAAAATATTTTTGCACTAGAGGTGCTCATCATTTCCATCTCTATCTTACAGTTTTGAATCTTCAATAATTAGAAATTGCCTCAGGGAGATAAGAGTCATATGCCTTTTTTTGGGTCAGCTGGGGCATGGGAGCATTGGAATTTGGATGCTTACAAAACAGGCACTTTTTCATTTCAACTGTGTCTAACTGGTGAAACATCTAAATCAGGTAATTTAAACCCAAATCTTTTGGCAGCTCGGACAGAGCAGCAAGTATCCACCTCTCAGCAGACCTTTGATTTCAAATCACTGTGTTGAGTCTACTGTAATTTCAACCAGGGCTGCACAGGTATTTTGCAAGCACAATTTTAAAATGCAGGCACAGTTTAAAATTTATGAGATTGAAAGCTGAGCACAAGATTCCTCTCCCAGTTACATTAGCATGGAATTATTACAGCTGACAAGAGAGCTGGGCTGAGGGACACGAACCCTGAAATGTACCCCTGCAGAACAGGGTACAAGCAGCCAGTAGCATTTTCCCCCATTTTCTTAAATATTTAAGGATTTCCTTTAGTAGTTCTCAAGAAGTTAGAATTCAATTTAAGAAGTGAAATTAGAGGAAAATGCTTTTCTCTGACCCGCTCTACAAAGCTAATTCACAATGTAATTTTCTGTAGGACTCTATAGCTACCCTGCCCACCAGGGAGAAGCTGAGTGCTTCTATACCCAGCTACCCCAGATCTTCAGTGAGGACCTAAAAGGGAAGCTCTGCTGCACCTCTAGAGTTATTTGAGTGTGCTGCTGGTGGTTATAAACGAGCAGTTTCCAGCTGATGACGTTCTGCTTTGAGTCTGCAGTTTCCCCCCAAAGAGCACAACGTGTGTGAGATGGCGTGAGGCACACCATGGCACGGCTTACATGCTGCTGACAGGTACTGCTGGAAAAAAAGCCAACAACATCCCATGGAGGTCACTATCTGAGTACACGGTTTGGCCCTTTGAACTGAAGAGACACAGCATTACCACTGTGGACTGGTTGTTTGCTGGGCACCTGAAGGCCTCAGCATTACGTCCACGAGGTCACAATTGCAAGCGGTCAAGCAAGGCTGAGCCTACAATATCTCCACTCTTAACTGGAAATGGGACGCAACATACTGGAAAAGAAAAGGAAGGGAGGAATGAGAAGGAAGAATGGGGAAAACAGCAATGCGTGACGTGGTTGCACACTGGAATCCTTTCAAGTTATTCCAAGTCCTTTCAAATGCCTCTTAAAATAAGCAAAATCAGCTGTTCCCAAGGCCTGGGCCATCCCTATCATCAATTCCGACACAGAAACTCATGTGTTTCACACATCAAAATCTAGCATTTATTCAACAGAGTGGCTAAGAGAGCCCAATCCTCTGATCCCTTCCCTCCATAAGCATCTCAAAGGCTGCAAGTGTTTGGAGCCTGACTGCTCTCTTATCTTGGAGCCACATACCTCCCGATAAGGAGGAGGAGAAGTTACTCACAGTGGTTCAGATGACTATGGAGGAAGTCAGCAAGGGAACAGCTTACCAAGCTGCTTATTTCAGGGAGGGAATTTTTTTTAATCCTCCTTGAAGCTCTTTCTTTTTTGTTGTTGAAACGTGTTTTTTTTAGAAGCTGCACATCCTCTAAGCCTCCACACTGAAGATCTTGAAAGCTTTTTTCCAAGCAGAAATGGCAGAAGTACAAAACTCAACAAGTCACCCTGAATTTGTGGAGGGTGATGTAACCCTTTCACAATAGCATGTTTTTTGGTGTGATCTGGTATCTTTCTTAACCATCTTGGGGAATGATATCCTTACAGGCTTAATTTTCCTCTTCTGAAAATCATTAACGACTCTATTTACATAGCTTGAAATTAATATGCAGTTTTGCACAATAACTATCCAACTCACCCTCTGTCCCAGAGCAGAGAACTTTTTTGCTAGGAAAATGGTGAACTTTTCACTTCTTAACATTAATCGACACAAAAAAAGGGACACTGGTTGGATCTGGTAATTGTCTAAGATTGTATTAATGATCTCTGCAAAATAACGGAAGGATTAAACTAATTTCAAGCTCAGATTTACCAAATCTTTTTAATACCTTTAAAAGCAAATTGTGTTCATACTGATGCACAGCACTAGCACTACCAACTTTTGGTCTTAATGTATAGTTTTAAGACCTTTTTTTTTTTTTTTTAAGTATTTACCCAGAATCACATGGTAAAATGACCTAAGAGCTGAGGGAAGGTACCACAAATAAGACCTAGAAGCTTTGTGTTTTGTTACCTGTAGCATTCACCTCATTGCTACTTGAGTGACTACCCTCAGCCCAAACCAAAACGATGCTGCCTTACATCTCACCTGAAGGCAGGCAAACAGGAATCAGAGGCTGAGCGACAGAAAGGTTTTCAATTAAGGCCTTCACAAATACTGGAAGTGACTGTAAACCCCAAATTTTGCATTAATTGTCTGGGCTTTCTCTTGCCCACCTTGAAAGACACTTTCATGAGGAAAAGAGGAAGTCTGCCACCTCTGCAGCTCACACTAGCTCACCTTGAACACATGGAATGCTTCAAACTGAATGTTGGGGCTTTTATCTCGCAGCAAGTTCATCATCAGCTTCAGATTTTCTGGTTTGCTGATGTATTTTGTCATGATGGCGAAGTTGTGTCGGTCCAGAATCAATTCACCCAGCAGCTATAGAGACAATTAAAAAAACCCACAGTTTTTTCAGTCCAATGCATTAATTTTGGATATCAAGAAAGTAGCAACATATTTTAATGTTTGCCTAAGAGGTTTCAATGTCACTACCTTTAAAAAAAAACTAACTAGACTTCATGCAGTGAGTCACTTAATGTCCAGTAATGCTCATCTTCTAAATACTACAGAGAGGGATCCCACGTATGGGCTGGATGTAACAGGAGCTGGTGTGAGCCAGCTGGGACAGAAGCAAGTGTGGTGCAGCTGTCCCACAAAGACACCTTAATGTCATTTGGGTGTTACATTAACGTACCTATCTGGTCCCATCTGCAGACCTGGTCCCATCACGTCAGACTTGGTGCTGTAGGATCAAACAGCACCAGACACACAGAGACTATCACGTTACTTTCAAGCTCATTTTAAACTACATTCTGAACCAAAGTCCAGATTCGAGGTCAGAGGAAAAATGATAGTGCTTGTTCCATAGAAACGGCCCAATGCTTCACCAGAGATCCCAGAAAAGTCACAGCGAGCTCTTGAGCACTGTACGAGCAGCATCCTCAAGCACTTACTTCTTTTTTGTTTTACATGGCTGCTCCATTGCCATACATGCATCTTGAGATTCTGCATAATGTGGAGCTCAAATTTAGAAGGAAAGTGCTGAGAAACTTTACTTTACCTTCAAAGATTGTCTCTTTGTAACGTAATTCTCAGAGTGAAGGAGTTTTTCATAATCCTCAAAGATCTAGAGTAACAAGAAAACACAAAATGCATCCGATTCATGTCCATCCTTCCTCCTCCCAGTCCTTCCCACCCCAGAGGAGCAGCAGAGACCACAGCAGTGCTGGCCTCTAACACTTCACTGCCACACTAGGCACAGCTCTCACGGCCTTTTTTCTTGGCTGGTTATCACAGAGTGAATTAATGCCCAGGAACACTCCTCTTCCAAATACTGCAAAGAGGGATACCACATATGGACTGGATATAACGGGAGCTAGTGCGAGCCAACTAGGACAGAAGTAAGCCAGTGCCCCTACAATCTTCTCTTAAAGGAGGGTGAATCTGCTGCCAGGACAGACGGGTCCAGCATGTAACTGGTCCACTCACTCATAGTGTGGTCATGACTTGCTTTGTGATCTAACACGATACCCCAAACTAGTGATGGTGCATCCCATACTGGCATATGCCCAAAACTCCCTTTGTCAGGTGCCACCTGCCTTGAGCAGCTCATTAAAGCCATTTGCCCGATGAGGGTTAGTAGGAGTCCAGCGTGTGCTGGCTTTTGTGGGACTGGGCCAAGGGAACCTGGTGGTCAAGAAGACTGAGAGAGAAGGCTACGATAAGTTCAAACCACCTACTGAACAAACAACAAACCCCAACACTCCTCTCCAAGAACCATCTCTAAAAAATGCTCATTTCCACAATTTATACTTAAAATTTTAAATGTTAAATAAAGGGAGAATGGGGACTGTTCCAATGCAGTACTTCAGTGCTAAGAGAAAAGATTAGCAGAGACACTAATTTTGCTCCAATTAAGCTGCATTTGTGACTCAGCAATATCTTTATATAACCTTCTTGGTAACTCTAGAATGAAAGACATTGTCTTCCGCCTTTTCACTTTGGCAATGAAATAAAGAGTGCCTCAGGTAACATAAGAACATAACCCGTAGTCTAATTCTGTGATCCATATCAGTCCAATTTTAGTTGATTCCAGTGGAATTTTTCTGACCCACATTTGGTTCAAAACTGAGCCAAAAAGTCAACATGAAAAATGGCAGGAAACCAAGGGACTAATTGCATTAGGATGGTAAGAGGTAATTGCCTTAGATGGTAAGACCCCAGTCCCCAGTTAGGTACATGTAATTTCCCGAAATGCTAGAACTTCTTGCAGCAACTATTCTCCTCTGTCCCAAAGTATTATATATGACACTAGCGTGGCCCTATCAGCCCTGGAATATCACAAAACTCTTTTAAGACATGCACGCTTTTTCCACCATGATCTGTTTACATACAAAGTGGACAGTTGTGTTCACATATGAGGAGGTACGATGTCTGCAGAGAAAAACACAACTTGCCTTTAAACTATGAGCGCTCCTAAAACCTCGGTGTTTGTCCCCGTATATGTGCAAAGGGGGTACCCCTTTCAAACACCACAGGAGGATTCTGCTTTAGTAAAAGCAATGTTTAGTTTTGCAGTCCTACGTGACTATTTTATGTGGAGCATGAAACCCTCCACTATCAAAAGTGCACTTTTTCCAGCTAAGCAGGAACAGATTTTTAAAAAATTGCTCTCTCGTTTACGCTTACCACATCATAATTTTGTTCCAGAAATTCTGCTACCAACAATTTGTGTCGTGTTAACAGGTCCTGGGGAAGAACAGAGAAAGGTTACCTGAGAGAGTGTGCTCATTTGATTGTCCCTTGATTCTCAAATTTATTTTAGCATTTTTTACCAGGTCATCTTTTAGGTGGTATTTACAACATGATTTCTATAGACCAAAAGCATTTAAAAGCAAAACTGCAAGACCAAAAGCATTTAAAAGCAAAACTGCATTCTGCATTTATTTCCATTTTAAGGAGATTCAGTGAATGCTCATAGAATTGATACAAAACTATTCCAACATTCGCTCTTTATATTCCTTTCCTCTCCCATCTTTTCTTAAGGTCATCACGCACAGTACTTAAAATGAACTGGGGTGGGGGAAAGGAAGAAAGTAAATTAACCCTTATGGAGGGATCAGCTATGGTTCCAAAGCCAAAAGTGATCTCCATGCTGCCCCACAGCTGGAAAATTAGGCTAAGTTTGATCAATTGCTATTGCTCATCTCCAATGAATACAACAAGGCAGATTCAAATTCAACCACTGTATATAATACATTCATTTATTTAAATCCTAAAAGTTAGGCACCAATCTGAGCTACCCATCAAGACTCCCTCCACAGCCACTCCCTCCCCAGAAAGGGGTCTCTGGTAGGTGGGATGAATTTCTTCTGTGGTTGGTTTTCTACCCAAGGTGGACTTACTGACACAGCATTACCAGACCTTTAAGCTGAAACTTCATAGGAGGTATCCCATCTTAAAAGGCCAACTAATTCAAATTTAAATTAAAGCAACCTCTACCACAGAATTGAAACATGGAGCTCAGCAACAGAGATGGAAATGTTCAGCTCCAGAAGAAATCAAGCCTCTTTACTAGATGAATAGCTACAAAATGAAGTGGCCGGTTTGAGGCCTTTTAGTTTAATTTTTATCTTATTGCCTCCTTTAAAACATAACACTGATCACAATAAATGCCTGATGAAGTCCATTCAAGCTGATACTTTTCCGGTGAATCAGTTGCTCTCTTTTTCATCATTTTTTCCTTGGTTTCCTTACCCACAGTCAGAGACTGAAGCTGATGAGTAGCTGAACCAGATGCATAGACACATCCTCTACAGCATCACAAATAAAAGAAATCCTTTACATACTAATCCTTTAATTTATTTTTACCATCAATTATAAGATGAAAGCAGAGTGCTATAAAAACGAGGACATGTTTTTAATACATTCCTTTATTTGGCAGGACTGCAATGACAGCAGTTTAAAAGGCTGAGTGCAGCAAGCATGATTCACAAGTTTTTATGCAGGGCACTTAGGAGGCAAGTACAACATTTTTCAATAGGGGGCACAAATGGAATATAATCCAAAATGAGTTTTTCATACAAAATCAGGGGAGAGCGTGGAGCAGTGGTATTCAATCAGCACTCTTTCCAACTGCTGCTGGTACCCTCTCACAGCCGACTGCATCTCTAAATACAAGCCATTTTCCTCTGCATTTTTAGCAGCTCTCTTTCCTCTCTGCAGTGCACCTGGCTGAATTTAATTAAGAAGTACATCTCCAGATCATCAAAAATTCCCATACTTTCCTACTATAAATATCCTCAGACTTTAATGCACATTTAATTAAGCCCTCCTCTGGAGCGTAGAGTATCCAAGGCTTTCAGCTCTGAATCAGACACCCTGCTGGCAACACTACAAACCCAATAAGGGGGAAACAGAACTGAAAACATGAGTTCAGTAATCCAACCATATTTTTATGGTATTAGAAATGAGGTAGCTCCACATTTCATGATTCAGTTGCTTCCACATCACTTCTTTCTGTTCCAGCTATTCAGAGCAACAGAGAAATAGGAGATGAGATGAACAGCTGGTTTATTCCAGAACTGACCACGTATCAAGTAAATTTAAAGTACGAGGCAATTTAAAAAAATGCAGTTTATAGATTTTCCCCAAGCACTTTAAAAGGTGATTTCTGACCTATGTCTGAAGATGAAGTGCCCTCATACTCCTCTTTTTCCAGTGCACGTGACGACATAGAATCCTGTTTTTAAATCCTGCTAAAAATACGCTTAGGTCACAGGGGACAGAATTAAGTTCCACAGCTGTAGATCTGTGAAGAATATCAATCCCTCTTTTTTGGGGAGAGTTGGAGTAATCTGCGGTCCTGTGATTCTGTGATTTGTCCCCATCTGGACCCCTGGTTGGAGTGAAGACCGTCCATCACCACAAACACACTCTCCTGTCATTCTCAAAGCAGGATGTGGGCAAAAAATGCAAATCTTTTCTGTCAAACTTCTCTGAGCAGAGACGCTCTTCCAAGCGTAGGGTAAAATGCCAGGGACGGAGGATTTAAATACCTCAGTTGCATTTTTATATAGTCCTACACATATATTTTTACTTGTCAGTATTTCTGTGCTACCTCCACTTTCATAATATTTACCTAACACACACAATGACAGTGCAACTTAAAATAACTGAAAGATGCTGCTATTGATTAACAGGTGTTTGAATTAGTAATCCTGCTCAACACGTTACTGATGAATACAATATTATCTCCATTATGCAAATCTTTACCCCCTTCAGTAGGTTAGTAAAAACTGAAGCCAGGTTTCAGTGTGCGTTGAATCACTGAGCTGAACTCTTAATGTTCCTTACAGTTAATCCTAAGGTCTATCTACTCATGTTTCTAATTAGCTTTGAGAGGAAAGAATGAACAACGTGTTTCTATGACAGCAAGGAACCCACTGATAGAAGAAAAGAGGAGTTATGTCTATATTTAGAAGAGTCTTTACCTGAAAAGAATTTTCCCTAGCTTGCTTTAATTATTTTTCATGAATAGACTAATCTTCCCTGTACATTAAGCTCATAGGCACCACATTTTATTCAAAGACTATTGACCTTGAAGGTCTATAGAAGACTAGAGCACCTTGAATGCAAGATGATGGTCACATACTAACTTCAAGAAATATGGCAAGCTTCACCCAATTTCATTTTTAATACCACACAGAGACTCTATAGACAGTCTGTGCAATGCTTTCACCTACTTAGCTCGTAGCCACATGATCCTTACACTGAACCATGGGTCACAAAAGCAAGCATACAAATAAGTTGTAAAATCACCAGCAGGCACAGCATTAGTCTAAATTTGACTGCCAAGCTCAGAAGGGTCAGCAAAAATTAGAGGATTTTAAATGATTGCTTCTATTTACTGGTTGTGGTCATGATGGGTAGTGGTTTTGTCTCCAGGGGAATATAGGGAGAGAAAAAGGTTATGCATTTTACAAGAACTATACATAATATGTAATTGTTTGAGTTTTAAAAGGTTGCATAAAAGGCCTAGGGTTATCAAGATAAAGAACATCAGTGAAATGTAAATCTGTATTGAATTAAAGATTCTTTGCAGACTTGATCACTGTTGTGAATCCTATTACAAACAGACCAAGGATTAATTATATCCTTTACTGAACAATAAAAACCCCACTCAGTTTAAAGCCAAGACAACATTCAGTGATGACTACTGACAGACTGCCATTTTTGACACGATGCTATGTATCCCGTAATTTACCTTGAATGTAGCAAAGGCATCAGAAGCGATATCAAATGTTGACATTTCCACATATTTAAAAAAGTCTCTGAACTGTTCTGAAAAAAGTATGATTTTGGCCAAGGGTTCATGCCGGATACACTCTCTCAGCATAATTCCACAACGTAAGGCAATATTTGGGGATTCATATCTGAAGAATGAAAAGAAACAGAAAAGGTCAAAATGTAGAAGAACAAAGATAAACGGGCATTCTTCTAGCAACAAGGAACTTTGTAGCATAGGGAACTCATGCACCAGAGGGAACACAACACGTGGACAGCAGCTCCAAGCCAGAGAACTGTACCCAGCTTCAGGACCTCAACCCAAAACTGAGGAGCAGTCACACAGATAAAGCTGCCATCGCAAACCTCTGCCTTCACAAGCCTAAACACATTTTGGCATAAATGTGCGTTACACCTCCTCTCTGCAGAAAGACCGTGGGCCGTGTGTGACGTTTCAACAGAACTCTTTCACCTTTTTAGATCTATGAGAAAGCAAGGTCTATACAATACAATGATCTTCCTTCTCAGATTTAATTCTGAGCTCCTCAGTTTATCCAAGAAAACCTTATGACCACCCATCACTTCCCACTCCTCTTCTAGAGAACACTGCTCTAGAATATTAATGTCTAACGAAGAAGGTAGAAAGAGTCTATCCAGGCCGTCTACACGGGATTAAGCTTTCTGTAGCTCTGAAGATATTTTTTTTGCAGTTGAGGAGGAATTCTGCTCAATCCCTCCTCTGCAGAGGCTACAACTTTGTTCAGGAGACAAGACTGCATTCCTTAAGTTACAATCCTGTTATGGCACATGCATTTCAATAGCCAGGAGCCAGCACTCAATCCTGGAGAGTGAGAGAGTGGGGTGGCAATTCAGATCATCTATTTCTATAAAGTTTTGATTTCTTTAAAGCTGAAATTAATCTGAAAAAAACCTGTTAGAAACACAATTAAAAAAAAAAAAAAAGAAGGGATGAAATCCAACAGTTAGGAATGACTTAAAATGAACTTCTTCCAAGCAATCTTCAATCATGTGAAAGCAGAGAAGTCCAAGGGGACAGAAAGCACACTCTGTTTCAATAAGCTGGTTACACTGTATCAGAACTGTGTATTATCACCCTGGGCTTATCAGCATCATGTTTCCTTTGCACAATTAATTCCTATCACTAGGCCAAAAGAGAAAAAAAAAAAAAAAAAAAAGAATGAAGAAAAACACAAAATGCCATCTGTGTTATAAATGAGTGGGCCTTCAAATTTACCACCAGCTTGCGATTTAAAAGAATGGTAGTGTTTTGTGAGCATACCAGAGCCGCATACTTCAACCTGATGTCAACAATAGTTGGCTTAATGAAAAATGAATTGCTATTCCAAACAGGCAAATGAAACTTCCCACCCTCAAGGAAATGCAGGCACTCAGGCCCCTATTTGTTTCCTTTTGGGGAACATTTACAAACAATGAATTTATAACTCTTTAGACAACGGAGATTTGCTGATGTTTTCCGTTGAGGCGTACCTCTCCTTGACTCCATTAACAGGAATGCTAATTTTCAAGCAAAAAGAGGCGGAGTTGCTCCTAGGAGTGCAGCCAGGAAAATATTTAATAGTTGGCTACGGAATATTTTAGTTGGAATAAAAGCAAATTACATTGTTTCCAGCACAATAACTTTTTAAAACACAAGTATCAACAGAATCATTCTTAGTCAAACGCTCCATTATCTGGAAGCGGGTTAAGGACCTTTGGCTGTTCACATAAGCGAGGGAAGTTGGGTTTGGCTCCTGGAATATGCCTGGAACAAGTTTACATGCTGCCTGGGCATAACTGGCATGTTCTCTGCACCCACACTTACATGCAAAGCCACCAGGCAGGAATGATAGATATGTGCTTCAAAATCACTTCTAATGAGCAATTAGTGCTTTGTGCTGACGTACTCCTGCAGCAGAAAAAAATACAGAGTTCTTCTCTGTTCAGATGAACTTACAACCTAAAGAAACCCCCACATACTGACTACCAAGGGCAACCAGAAAAGGAAATAATGGACTTGAAAAATTTCAAAATACTTCTTGTGGAGGCTGAAAGAGACAAGACTGAGAGCAGAGCTGCATCTCAGCACGAAGGGAATCACACTTGTGTGACTAGTGCAGAAGATGGTACAAGGCAAGGAGCACAGGCAGGAGACTGGGAAGGCAGCTCTAGACTGGGATACACAGGGTGTTGACTAACAGCTGTATTCTGATCTGATTTTACACTAACTTCCATAGCTTGAGTTTATCCTTGGATAAGGAGTTTATTCTTGGATAAACTCAAGGGGAATTCTGCAACTTTAGCCAATATACTATTAAAGCTTTAACTGCACTGTGATATGAAGAGCTCATCACAAAACAGATTGAGGCAAGTGACTGAGTGTACTAGATAGCATGTGGCATGACATATATTTAAAAACGAACTTATAAATCTGTCACTTGTGAGAAATGATGCAAGTGCCACAAACTTCAAGTGCTCTACAGTCATGGTTCTAGAGGGAAAATATTTTAAATTACAAAGTGGTTTCTGGGTTAATGCAATAAGCTGACACTGGAGAAAAAATTGGCCCAAATATACCCTGTAGTCTATATACATCAAATACTGTATTCATCTGAAATCCTATTCATACACAAGACTTGCACACACACAGAAAAGATACTATTAAAGCAAGTCCTCATACAGCAGGAAGGTCAATTAACCTACCAAAAAACAGTAAAAAAAAAATAGTAGTCAACTATGTGCTGTATGTTTTTCTGAAGCTGAGAAGCTGGAAGGAAGTAGCCAACAAGTAAAACGAAGCCTAAAAGGTAAGAACAGTTATCTCAAGCTGGCAGTGCCGCCGGAGTATTAGGCAGGAAACACTGGGCGGGAGGCTCTGATTAAGGATCCTTCCCACTCAACAGAGCTCACATTATGCAATGAAAAAGCAATCTTTTGTTGATGCTGTTACGAACTGACTGTCAGGGGGCAGAGGAAATTTTGCATCCAATACAAGTGAGACAATGACAAGCTTTCACAATAGTCCCAAGCCGTTTCTTTTATAGTCATGGTTGAAATTTATTTTTTTCTCTCCAAATAATGTCACATAACAAACACTGAACGGTACAAGCCAGTCAAATCTACTGTCCTTTCCTTTAAGTGGATTTTGATACAGTGTGTTTCATTTAACTTCATCCTCAAGTCATGTTTTGGAGTGGTGAAGTCCAACATGAAATGTGTGTTTCCCAGTCCCAGGGATGATTGCACAGGAGCACCGCACACTGCCTGCACGCAGCAGCCACGCGTTTGGGGCCCTACCCTTGCTTTAAGCACATATTTTAAGTACTTTTTCAGACAGCCCTGGCAGCAGGACACAGGCAGGCAAGACGGCATCGTGTTTGACATCATTACACTGTCCTGCAGCAACTGCTCAGATACCATGAGGGCTGGATAGGACTGTTTTCTGGACTACTGCTGATAAATCCAACAGCACTTTCTAATGAGAAACTCCAAAAATGGCAACTCTGATACAGTGCAGTGCTGCGGAGAGATAGCAAGAAATCAAGAACAAGGAGCTTGAGGACCAAACTAACACAGACACACCACTGCAGGCAGCAATAGTCTCCAAAAAGCACCTAAATTATGCCATTTATATGGCAGGTCACCTACAGTAAAATGTCTGTCAGCAGCAAATTCGTGTAGCATGAAATCCTTCCTATCTTCTTAATATTCTTGGTTGTTACAGATGCCAAAGAATATCTGGGACATGATCCAAAAATACTTTTTAACTTTAAATAAAGCCCAGACATATGGTAGTGATACATGTGCAACGTAAAAAACCAAAATGAGCGAAAAATAAAAAAAGCAAAGACAGAGAAAAGGGAAGAAAATGATTGTATCTATACATGAAATTGAAAACAGTTGTATAACTTAACGACGACTGAGAGAATTATCATCACTGTCCTGGAACAACTAATTTGAGGTTTATGTAAATGGTGAATTTTAATGAACAAATGAAACCAAAATCCATTTATCTAGCTTACTGGTTTCCTTTCTGAGGAAGCTCATGCTTAGCAACACAAAACAAGTCAAGAGTTTCAAAACTAAAGCTAAATCACAACAAACCACTATACTTGTAAGAGCAAGGCATTTCTCAGCCCAGCCACCTGCCCTGCCTGCAAGGAAGGCAGCAGGTCAATCTTCCTCCTATTGCAGCAACCAAGAGCTTTGCCACTAACATCAACCACCACCAGCTCACAGTTCTTGAAATCCCTGGTCTAGTTCTCTCGGTGACTTTTTTCCCTGCTGAGCTGTGCTGGAACGTGGCCAATTTTGAAGGAAATTACTATTTTAGAGGACTCCTGTGCCTGCCTCTCTCTCCTGGCTTGGGTCTCCTCCTGGGAGAGTGGGGAGGCTGAAGATAATTTTACCCTTGGGGCTGCAGCCTTGTGATGCACAAACCTTAGGTGGTGCTTAAGTACTTTCCTAACACTGGCTTTGGAGCAGATGCTAAAAATGCAAGTCTTAAGCTTCAGAAACAAGAAAGACATTTTAAAATATTCATTGTCTTAAGAACCATTAGTTTAAAAGGCTTATGTCATGTTTTTGAATGGCTGTTCCCAGTGTGATGATACAATTACAAGAGTCCATGTTGTTTCATACTGATCATCTGATAAATGCATTTACTTCTACATCAGTTCTTTAATCTCAATCACATACATTCTCCTTTCTTTAGAGAAAAATAAACAAAAACCTGAAGTTTTGGCTTCTTTGGATTCTTTGGCTTCTGTGGTTTTCTAAACCACAGAAAACTAATCAGATAACAGAAGATTTCAAGGGTTGCAAAAGCAAACCTTCTGGCTGAACATAAGGTGCTTTTGGCCAAAAGCAAAGGGGACAGAAACCTCAAGAGTTTCACACTGACACTTCTACACTCCTGAATGCAATTACAACCGATGTCCTCTCCACACGGCAGTCTACTCCTCCTCCTTGGCCAACCCAACTTACCTTGGGAATCACTGGGTTACATTTGAACACTGGCACCCTCAAAGGTTAAAAGAGAAAAAAATGCTGAAAGTTGTGGAGTTCAATCAGTTTCAATCAAATCAAACAGAATTGATTTGAAGTTGTTCACACATGGCTACAAGCATTGGAGGAATCTGCCCCACAGACACAACTACTCTTTTTATGCATTTTTCCTTCTCTTCATTCTACCACGTGGTGGTCCAGCATTTTACTCCAGTTATCTATGGACACCACTGTAAGTCACTCCTGCAATCAGAAGGGTCTAAATGAAGCTCAGTAGTTGTCAACAATGCTACACATGAGTTTAAGGCAAGAACGGAAGTACATGTCATGTAGGGAGCTGTCAAAAACACGTAACATTCCAACATGAAGTTCTGTGAAGAAATAACAGCCAAATAAAATAACCAAATAATCCAGTCATTAAAAAGTATACAGATAAGTAAAAACAAAGTCCATATGAAAGGAACAAAATAAAAATTCTGGAACAAAATTTGAAAACACTTTTTTTTCACATAAAAATGAGAAAGCATATCAACTGCAATGCCAGCGTGTTCCAGGCAATGCTCTTTAATGAAAATCAAATTAAAGCACCCACCCTTTTAGAAGCATAAATAGGATATGTGGATGGGCACTAATGTATTCCACAGTAGGGCTGCGTGTGCCAATTTGTCTTCTCAAGATGTTGTTAAATATCTGGGAAACGTCCTTTTTCCCCTGTTAAAGAAGCAAAACATATCTTCAATGAGAAAAAAACCATGAACAAATGACTATTCACTATAATCTCTACTTAAAGTAGAAATGAAATTGAAACCAAACCAAATCAAATCAGTCTCTTTTTCTGGGTTCTCCATAGTCCCACCACCTCACACTTGCTGTTTCTTCAGCGCCACAAGAAGGCTTCCTCCGACGGGTGGCTCTGAAGGCTACTGACCTCCCTGCTCCCATTTACACCTCTCTCTTTCTACATGAAGATGTGCATCTCCCTTATTATCTCAAGCAAATCCCTGGCTATATTAAATAGCAACAGTAAAGCATCAAAAAAGCAAGCCACTACCCCAAGCCAACATGTTTTTGCAGTGTGTACTATTGCTCCCACAGCCTCCAAATGTAAGTTGTCAAGCTAGTACCAAGTACACCACCCCACAGCCTAGATTTACAAAGCTAAAGCTTTTTATTATTCAAATGCAATCAATGCCAAGTGTTACCGCATTTTTGAGAATGAGGGTTAAATTTAAAACTGCACCCATTATTTCCCCGTGAGGAATGAAATAATTACTGCTGATAGAAAGGCTGTGTCACGTACATGTCTCTGCTTCAGTCACAACTAAGATCCTTCACTTCATCCTCATTTTCTCCTATATACACACATCTGCACAATCACATTTTATCTTCGAACGCTTCCCTGTGCAAATAGCTTTTCAGAAGGCCCTTCCAATTTATGTTCTATTCAGCCACAGGGTTTGCCAAGACATCTTGCATTAGAAATCCTCCTTCTCCCTCACCGCTTTCTCCCCTGGCCACGGGAGACAAATTGAGACCACTTTCTTCCAAGGCCACGGGAGGCTGCTGTGCTAATGACCAGTAACCAAGGCACTGAGTCAACAGCGGGTCACTATGCACAGGGCAAGCTAAAGCAAAAGGTTACTTATAATCTGGACGTGGTCATTGATCTGTCTCGAGAGGACAAACATTCCTTGGCGGAGAACTTATTGAACGCTTAAAGCCAAGGAGCAGATAGTTTCACACAGAGAGAAATTCCCTGGTTTCACCTCTACAAATAAATCACTGCTGAGAAACACAAAATATTCTGCTTTCCTACTTGTTCCAACCCAAGCCAGCTCGGAGAATTGGGGACTCGGGGAATTAAATAGGAAAATGAAATCAGAGCAGGCCAGTCCATCCACCTTTGATGCAACACTTTTGACCCTTGGACCTTCTCTTAATTAGGCTAATTCTTTATAAAATCATCCCATTCTCCTCTATCTTTACAACACCCATAATGTATGTCTGGAATCCTGTGATTCCCAGCGGTTCCAGCAGTTACTCCAAGACAAAAACAATCCAGACAGAGAAGAGCTGTTGAAAGGGCGAGGTAAAAATTGCCAAAAATTAAGTGATCCTTTCTGCTATGCCAAATTTTACATTAGTTACTTAATATTAGGTGCACTGCAGCATTATATCCAATAGTAGATATATAGAGAGAGATATATATCTCACAGAGATATATGCAGTTATGTCCCATTTTCTAGAGACCAGCAATGGTGAAAGCCAAAGAAGTTGGTCTCTCTGTGTTCTCCTGGAGGAAATGGAGGTAGATAGGAGGGAACCAAGTCAGACTTCCCTCACCACCAGACATCTATAAAAATTGTAGGAATACTTTTGCAACACCTCTCACCTGGATCTGTGATTTGATTTTGCCTTATAATGAAATACATATGGCCACTGAAGCACAAGAGAAGGCAGCATGGTGAGAAAGTGGCTAGACAAGATCAAAAAAACTGCAAAGAACACCATTATATAAAGAACAAATTGCATGATACCAATACCATAATTCAGCTCGTATTCCAAGACAAAGTAAGGGAAAGCTTCTGACGTCACAAATCTTGGGCTTGTGGCTACTTTCTACCACTCAGAGAGTGGCTTTACAGTTTGTGAACCCAAAGACTTACATGCATTTAGTAACATAATTTCTTTTAATTAACTTTTCCTCTATGCACATTTTCTTCAGTTTTTCAAAGCTCAACAATAAGACTCGAGTCTCTGCTTCTGCCTGTTTCTTGATGGGGGCATTAGCTCTGGTCTCACACTTCTAAACAGCCAAATAATGCAGTAGTTTCCCTTCTGTGGTGTATCTGCTAACAGTGTCTTCTCCCCCTCTCTTCTTTTTTCTTAACAACAAATATATAAATATTGGATTTTTAGGGGTTTGGGTTGATGGGGTGGTTGGTTTTTATTTTTAATTAAGACATTTAACAGTAACCAGTGGTGGCAGGGAGAAGACAAATGAAAGGACCTGAAGAAATTCTAGCATTACCAAAAAAATTACTCCTGAACTTAAGACCTGAGGAAGAGTGAGAGAACTCCATTTAAAACATTTCCAAAAATTAATACAAAATAAATAAATCAGTCCCTTGAATGATGGCTTTAGTGGGGGTGGGGGACAGAGGGGGAAAAAGAAAACATAAATCTCGCATAATTCCTCCCTTTCATTCATTTACAAAGTGAAAAGAAAAGGAAAGTTACAACAAATTACTTCAATATAATGAAAAATCTTCCACAAGAAAGTAACTCCCACAGAAGGTGGCCCTGAAAGCACTGGACAATCTCTCCAGGGAATTGATTTTTCAATTCAGTGCTTGTCCTGTTCTACGCACTGGGTACTGTCCCTGCTTCAGACCCCAGCAGTGAAGGTTTGGTTCCTGGGAGCTGGGGATTTCTACCTGCTCGGAGATGCTCGGACACTTGTGATGATTCACCAGCGCCCGGGAGCCACAGAAGTCACAGGGCTCGTAATAGCAGTCCCTGGGGAACCACTATCCCAGCTGGCTGTAGACCACAGGAATACTATAATGACCTGCCAGTGACAAAGTTTATTCCCAGAGGTCAATCAAAAGGGTTTATATTTATCCTGAATTACTGCAACCTGCTCTAGCATAACTCTTCTCCTTAATTACAAGCAACTAAGTTGTCTTAGTAGCTGTCTACTAAGTTCTTGGCTTTAACAACAAAACTGGCAAGGAGTTCCAAAGAATATATAATTATTTTTAAAAATACATGCATTAATCTTTTCCCCATATTAACCTTTCTGCTAGCGAAAAAAGTGATATTCCTTTCTTCTTTTAACCCAAAGAACAAAGTGGGGGCAACCCAATTTACCTTGTCACCTGCTGTCAGTTTTTAACAATTTTTCAACTCCTTTCCTCTCAAACCATCCCAATTTTTTTTTTTCAAACTTTTTCACATGAGATTTTCCCATGCTTCCAGTTAATTTTATTGCATGTCCCTGGACCCCTTGTAAATCAGACACACTCTTCAGAGATGGTGGTTGACTCTAGTTGTACTATCCCAAAGCAAGAGGTTAATCACTGCAGCTTACAAGGTCAGTCATGGAGAGTATTCTTGGCATCATTTCCTATCTTGTTTGGATATACATGGCAATATTTCTTTCTTGCTTTTGTTTTGAGAAAATGAAGAGATTTAAATCAGATGCACTGCATTTACTTCCAGTATATGAGCACATCTATCAGGACACTGACCGAGCTACAGCAGCTACTTTCTTCTGCATGCAAAATACAGTTTTGAGTACAATAAAATTATTTAGACTTCAGAAAAATACAGCTATACTCATTGACGACACCGAGAGAAGGATATGAAAACGTTTATGGATGCTACCTACCTCAAAATCTATCAGCTGCAGGTTGGCAATAAGCGTCACTAGAAGGCCACTGTTATAAAGCTCTTGTGCCAGCTGAGCCACGATTTCTGTAGGTGGCTCCTTGTCTGTGGTCCCACACAGAATTTCCTTCATGGCTTGCAGAGATTTTGAAACTTCCTCCGATGCCTTTTAGCCAGCAGATAAGGGTTTTGTTTTAAAAAAAGAAAGAAAAAAAAGAACAAAAAAGTTTTAATTTAAAAGACAAGCAGTTCAAAACAAAAGCTACTAATTGTACTTACAACGGTCATTATCTTTTGAAAAATGATTTAATAATTTTATGTAGTCACTGAGGAGCACTCACACTGGATCCTGCAGGTCCTACACGAGCACACAGATATATTCAATTTAAACACTTACAGACCACAAGCATAAAAAAGGGGCAGGAGTGCAATCACCAACTGGCATCAGCAAGATCCTTTATGGGTTTGGAGACAGGCGCTGCCCTGCAGAAGTGGCAGCAATTCCACCATTGCTCCCCCCCTCCTCCCCGCTGGCTCCATCAACACACGTGGGGAAAGAGGTGCCAGATGGAGGTAACGAACCAGTGGCCGCTTCCCCATCAACTGCTGATGGACTGTCCCACCTCCTCTGCTGGTAACCCACATAAATCCCTGTACCCCTGCCAGCTTTGCATTGCCACCACCTATGTATTTCTCCCCATTGTGTGTGGTTGGAGTCAGCATCTTCCACAAGTGATTTGCCTACTGAGCCCCCAGGCACTTCAGTCTCAGGTTGGGAAATGAATTAAATTAAGCAATTTGCTTTAGTAAAGCTCCACAGCTCCCACAAAGCTGGGACAAGCAGCTCCCACAAAACTCAAATAAGTCTTTCATCTTTTGCTCCTACCTAGTGTATGCTAATTCTGTGCAATGTTTCAGGTTTTACTCAATGTAGAGGACAAATCAGGAATTACCTTACAAAATATCTTGACCAGAAAGCTTACAACAGGAAAATGAAAGAGAAACGCATATAAACAGGTAACAGCTTGGTGATCCTGGCAGTCAGCAGGTTTAAATCAGATGTGTCCCGCTTCCCAAGGGAAACAAACACTGGCTAAAGAGCAGCAGCACTGGCTCACACCTTCCTCCCAGGTTTTCTCCACTTTGTATAAATACAGATTCCATGGAGCACAGGCATTATTTTTTCACGTGTGTGCTTTAAATCCCACCTGCTCTAGCCATGGGGTTATGGAGGTAATGGCCTTTTCTGGGCCAGGGTATATTTTATACCTGAATGACCCACAGCAAGGCTGGTCGGATTTTTTGGCAGGGAGTGGGAAGGAAGTAAGGGAGAGGTTTGAAAGCAACACTGAGAATGACAGGAAAGTGCCAGGCAAGATCGCCAGAGATGCTGAAGATAGGACAGCATTTCACATCTATATTGCAAAACATTTATTTGAAATGAATGTTTCATTAGCTTAGCAGGAAAAAAAAAACAAAAACAATCAAGATATGCACAGAAAACCCAAGAGTCATTTGTAAAAGCTAGCTGGACATTAATGGGAGTTCAAAGCCAGATCAATAATTTCAATACATCTCTCACATAAACTAAAAGGAAAAATGCCGTGCTTTCAAATACCACTCCATTAATCTCCAAAAAATAACCCCACAGTACTCAGGAGAGGCATCTCTCAACTGCTGCTGATCTCCCATCACTTTTATACTGATTTAAATCACAGAGTTTATTCACATTAGTGAATAAAAAGCCTAGAAAAAGCCTAGAAATCCTAAAAAAAAAAAAACCACCACCAAAAAACATCCCCACAAACCACTAAAAAGCCACTTTCACATTGCATCTACCTGGAAGATTCAAGCATTGACTTTGCACAGCATAAAGAAATTATCTCCCCCAATCTGTACCTACTCTTGGTTTTCTGCTAGTTGAGATAGGTCAGGATGAGCAGTGTGTAAATGAATATGACTATGTGATAACTTTAACCACAGCAGAAGTCTTGTTGTTCCCTACCGTCACTCAGCAAAAGAGCCTATTTTTACCTCAAATGTTAGTGGCATGTCACTAGAGATATCCCACAGAGTACAGATGGGATTAACAACAGGGGTGCTATCTTGGAAACTAAAGCTCTAAATCTTGATAAGAGCTGTGCAAATATTTTCATATCGAAAGAAAAACCCATACATTTTTGGCTTTTCACCCATTCTGCTTGGTAGAGTGTGAAAATCTCTGGCATTCTGTGGGTAAAAAAAATAATTAATACCTTTCCTTTCAAGTATAAGGAGTCCTTCCCAATATGTCAAAAAATATCTGCAAGACACAGCTTTAGGTTAAATTCTCAACAAGGAGGACAAAAAGTAAAGCACTGCAGGAAAAAGAGAAACTACAGAACACTGGGGTGTTGATGGGCACAACTGGGCACCACACCTATATTTCTCTAATCATCTGCCACCCCATCCACTCATCTTCTCGGCTTTTCTACATGCAATTTACATTTTGTGTAAATTTCCTCCCCCTTCATGTCCTCTGGATAGTCTGTGGTTTGACATTCAACCCACCACCAAAAGCTATTCCTGGTCAAGTTTAAGGATTGTCCTTCTGTGCCTATTCCCCACAATCTATCTGGAGAAAAAACACAATCCTGAACACAGATTCTTAAATTAACAGCCACTTCTAGACCCCACTTTGACACTTCCACTTAATCCTACAGCAGTTTTAGAATAATACTCTAAGTACATAAGCACTGTTTCTGGGATGGAAACTTGCTCATGACTCAGGAGGAAAAAAAAAAAAAAAAAAGACATTCCAAGATCTAAAGACTCAAGATCTGTCCAAAACAAACAACAAAGCAAACAAATTCACTCGAATACATGGAAAATACAAGATGACAGAAATATAGCTGGAGAACAGCTTGTTGTAAGAAGCCAGACTGGTCCTGACTCCCTTTAGGAAAATTTGCAAAACCCAAAAGAATTTCAGTGACAAAAAAAAAAAGAGAGATTTGATAGAAACTCCACAAACTCTAATATGACTTCCATATTACTATTTACTCTCCATCAGTGGCAACAGCCACAACAGCAAAATGCTGCAAGTCTCACTTCAGCAGAAATTATAGAGCAAAAGAAAAGCTTTCATGAAATATCTAAGCACTTTAAGCCACTTGTCTTGTTCTTGCAATTAAGTACAATTTTCTTTCCAGAAGATTTTCCTTCTATGCTCCAGCTACAAGTCCTTTACATCATGACTGAATTTATGTCATTATAGTTAGAGAAGCTGGTGTAAGCAGAGGGGAAAAAGGGGGAGAGGAGATAACTGAACCCAGAATCCCAAACAGAGCAGCTTGTATCTAATTACATACAAATGTCAAAAGTGGGATACGCTGAACTTTGGACAATTAAAGGGACAGGGACTACAAAGCACAGGATGAAATGCAAGCTGATTCCCAGCACATGCATCAATGTAACATTTGTGCTGCTGTCACTGCATAGACATCAGGATCTTGACTTCCTACAGCAACTCACAGATTTCTAGTCTACAGGCATCTCAGTTCACAATGTCCAAATTTGGGAGGATTCAATTCCACCACAGAACACAAGAATTCAGGGTGTCACAAATGAGTTACAAGGTTGACTTGGAATAGCTGTGTAAGGGGAGTGAAGGAGACCACAACCTGTACTGACCTGTGCAGTGAAGGCAGTTTTTTCAATCATGGCCATTTCTTCTCTACTTTGGCCTAACATAGGACTAACAAGTTATTTCATTTCCAACAAGAACTAACTCTTTATCCACATAGTATAGTTTATAGAGGTTTCTGGGTCCATTCTGAAACATACCATTTTGTGTAAATATTGAAGCCTAACAATTCTTGCATTATTTCACTAACCCTATTGGACTAGATGACGTCCAACAGCTTTGGAGCTTGAGATGTGACAGCATAGAGTTACATTATAAACGTGCCAAATCATCCCTGCTTATAAAGGTGGGAATTTGTATCTCTCCAAAATTAATGTCTCTCCAAACCTACCAACAGCTTCAACAACAAGAGCTGGAAACTTTATGAGTCGAAGATACTTGGTCTCAAACCTGTTTTCCTCATAGACCAAAACCTTGTCATTGTTGACTTAATGGGTTCATAACACAAAGAGAGGAGCTTACGAGGACATTATTCCCTGAAATTCTATACGGAAAAAAAAATCTTCCCTGAAATACCTCAAGACTCTCCTCTCTACAGCCTAATACACAGGTGAAGAGCAGCCAATTTTGTTGCATTGGGTAACATTCTTTATAAAGAACATAAAAAAAATAAAATAAATAATGAAGAATGCCTATTCTGAAATATTTCCACACTCCAGTGTTGATCTTCCTTGCCCACAGTGCTAATATTGGGTCCTTTGGTTTAACTTGCTTTGACAGGCCTAGAACACAATTTCTGAATTTTACCTATTTTCTTTGACTGATCTCTGCAGGAGGGTCAAAGAGCATGACAGTGTTCTTAGGGCAGTAATTTAGCATTATTAAGGAATGCTGCAAAACAGTTATTTTTTTCTCTGTATTTCACAATTATACAAGACAGTTCAATAAGGAGTTTCTTGTTTTTTCATTAAGGGATTACAAATAAATCCTCCAAATCTTCTAATTTTTCTCTTCTTCTAAAATCTTCCAGAGAGATTGTAGAGAGTGGCATGGAAGGCTAAAACAAAGGTCTTATCTGTTGTTTGCACAGAAAGCTGAATTTTTATTTCCATAATTACATGAGTTAGGACTTTCCATACTCAAAGGCTAAGCTGTTTTATCTCCAGCACTGCTTGTGCGTGATGTAGCAAAATAAACAAAGCAGATCTTCTGCTTCAGAAATCAAAACTTCATAAAAGGCAGTTTTTGAAAAACCCTATTTGCACACCACAGAGATGCTTTACCAAGAGTCCCCAGCTTCAGCAACTTAAATTTCTACCTATTCCAACTGGCTTAAGAAAAGTTACCTCTACTTACAAACCTTGCCCTTCCCCTTTCCTTAACTACTTATGACAATTTCACATTTATCTTGAAAGTGCCAATATTAAGTGCTCATGACCCAATGCATTATGCTTGCCAGAGAGACAGAGAGGTGGATCTCGTGTTATGCAATGTAGATTCATTGCTCCTTTTTCACTCCTCTCCAAGGAAGATTACAAAAA